GGGGAGGAATACTTTACGGATCAGATACCGCCTCCAGAACGACAACGGAGTCCGCAATTCGTTGACCACTTCATCGACCGATTTGACTACTTTTGGCTTCAATAGGTTTTCACTGCCCGAAAGGATTGCCTGTTATATAAAACGATAATTTATTAGACAATTGACCGCGAATTGCATCAAAACCAATGCATACCTTTAAGTTCTTCACGCATGGAATAGGATTGTCTTCCCAGGGCTTACAGTAGGGGTCCATCTCTTTATAGCCTCTGTGGCCGTGATCTTTGAGAAACTGGTCGAACAGTCGCGACGCCTCACCGGTTCCGCGCCGGAGCTCTTCGAGCGCCTCTTCATCGCTGAGACGGACGAATCGTTGCCTGTCTTCGATGGCTACAGCGATATCACGCAAACGGTTGGGCACTTCGGCGCTGACCACTTCATCGCACGAAGAGATCAGTAAATTCATGTCCGAATCCAGGTTTGGGTTATTTTCTGAACAGTGATTACAAAACAATTGCCATTCAATTCAATGGTCGCAGAGTTCTATGCGATGGAAGTAGTTTGTGGTGACAGTTGTATACATACGTTGCGCGCTCTCGAGAAGGTATCTTATGATACCATTCTTAATGGTGGAGCCCTGAGTGGCCCAACTGTGGTGGAAGAACATGACATCAGTCATCTCGTACTCCTTCATGAGGCCGTCGAAGACCCGTTTGGCGCCCGAATACTGTCTCAACTTCTGGACCATATCGTAGTGACCCATATATTTGTCGATATCGGCGAACATCTTCGCCCTACCGAAGAAGAATATGTTTGCGTAGTATTTGATATTCTCGATGAGTGATGGCCTGTGAAGGCGATGTCGTTTCTCCTGAAACATATTCAAAGTATCCCTATCTGTGATGTGATGCCCGAAGAAGGCCAGCACTGAATACTCGGACAGTTTGGACTCCGGGTAGTCGTAGAACCGGTCGAACACGTACTGTAAGTATTGATGAATATTTTACTTAATATTTGAAATTAATTTAATTATAGTTAAAATATGTTTGCTTTTTGTAAATACATTGGTCAAATTGAAAAATAGCTGATTATAACAAACACCCATCATATCGACGTACGGGTTGTAGTCATCCATTGTGGCGCTCGCATCCGAGGCCAACACTTCCCGCTGTAAGACAATAGTTACCGCTATTAATTTAGTGACAATTATATAATGATATTTTATGCTTAAAATACATGATTACTTACAAATAGTGAAGATTTATTGGCCCAAAGAAAAGTGAACACAAGGCATGTGGAAGCACCAGGGTAATTCTCACCCCAATGAGCTCGAGAGTATATTTCAAACTCAGACGGATGTGCTGTATCTAATTCATGCATAATCTCGTAATCGGTGTAAGAATTGTCTAAATTAGTTACGGGTCTCGACTGAAGCATAAATATTTGGCCCCCTTTTAGACCCCATTCTATATCTCTTGCGTTTCCATAATATGATTGAATCTATAATTTAAAATTGTTTAAAATAAAAATTTAAGTAAAAATTATAATAATTTTTCATTAGTTTATTATTAATTCACTTTTAAGCCCAAATCTGCCAAACGATATAAGTCTTCATCGCTAACACAACAGCTATTCGTATCCTCAATGTCTTCCTCAAGAGTGCCTCCATTTTCAGATAATCTGATTAATGTCTTCTTCTGTCCGATGACTTTGGATTCAATTCCCTTAATATGTCTTCGTTTGGACAAAGAGTTGGACTCAATATTAACCGACATTTTGATTGTGTCGGGTTCTGAGGACGCGGAGACCACAGACTGTAGTAGATTAATGGTTAGGTTATATACAGTATAAGACATGTGTTGTTGACTCACTTCTCCCAATCCATAATTGCCTGTAATCTCAATAACCCTCTCATCGCCGGTAATCGGATCACAAGTGAACATAACTCCCGCCGATTCGCAGCCAATCATCTCTTGGATCACAACAGC